GTCAGTGGTTCTCAACTGGTCAGGCCTCGGGACCCACTTTTTACTTGGTCAATACATTGCGACCCAACATTTTGAAGCACTCAAATCTATTCAACAAAAAAACGTGCTGTAATATATACGCTTTTCAGCATACAATATTAATAAAAGTGAAGTACAGTGCATATATCCCTTATATCCCTTCACAGAACTAAAGTATGCTTTTAAAAAAGGTTTAATGAGATGATGGAGTCAAAGCTGAACTATATAAAAAGGCACATATGCTGAAAACCCAACCCCAGCAGGGGGTCTGGGGGGATTCTCCCCCAGGAGATTTTTAGAAATACTAACATAAACTATGCATTCTGGTACACTCTGAGAAGAAAATAAATAAATCTATTACTACCCGACATATTAANATAAAGAAGAGTTCTATTCTACCTATAAGTCTATGGTTCTACCGCAAAGTTATTCTCCGTGGGGACTTCATTCTGATTCCCATCAGTACTCGAAAAAAACATCAGCAAAGATGTTTTATTGAGAAGATGATCACTACGTGACAGAAGTTTTCAAAACCGTTTATGGTCTCCGGTACTTCCAGTCCAACGCCGACTGCATGCACAGCGTTAGAAAATCGGGCCTTCAAAATAAAAGTTTGACTTTCCCCCCCCCCCAAAAAAAAAAAAATTCCAATTTATTTTTCTTCCAATTTTTTTGCTTCACTCACACTGAGTGCCATCTAGTGTCACTCAGTGCCACTCGAAACGGGTCCGCAACCCACTTTTGGGTTGCGACCCACCAGTTGAGAACCACTGCTTTAGAGGATGGTCAGTACAGTAGTGCCATAAATCCCAGGAGAACAAGTCTCTGGTATTGTCTTTTTGTACTGGAGCCAGAAGACTCTCAGGTGTCAGAGTCAGACTGAGTATATGAAGAGTAAACTCTGTGACAAGATGTCTTCCAAGGTGAACCTCACTCTTGGCAGGGAAGCTCTGCGGCCTGAGCTGACACCTGGCAAAGGTACATTATGATCAAGTGCAATTAAATGAGAGCAACCAGTTTGACTTCTTGGTTAATGCCTTTTGTCAATAAAACATCACGAAATAGGAAAAAACACATCTCTGTAACAACTTCCCACAGTTTGAGGATCAACAGTCTAAAACGCTAAATATTTTCAGCTAACTTTGATGAAATCACCAGTGTTGGCTTTTTTGCTGTAAAACTAAAAAGACTGAACGCAAAGTATTTAAGATGCAGTCAATGCAGCAGTGAATATTTTCATATTAAAACATTTTAGGCAACTTGAAACCCCCCTCTTTATTTCTCTTTTACTGTGCGTTTGTCTATAATTTATTTATTCTTGGTCTTTTTTTTGTAAAAAGTTTTGAATTCGACTTTAAATTTACAAACAAAAAATAACCATCAGATCATTTTTCTGCTGATCAAACAATGCGTTTGGATTTTCGTTCTCTGTGTCCTAAAATTCCCCCCCGAACACCACGTCCCTGTTGTCTCTGCCATACAATCTGCCTGACAATGCAACCACATTAAATAAAGACAGGGTGGGGTGTGAACCTCAGAATGTCTACTAAATTCCTTCATATTCATTTCCACACACACACACACACACACACACACACACACACACACACACACACACACACACACACACACACACACACACACACACACACACACACACACACACACAAAGAATGTGGAGGAAACAAAAGTCACATAAAAACAAAGCTCACAGCTCAGGGCTTCTTTCCAAAGCCACTCTGCTGAGCTAGAACTTCTTGGGCGAGGGGCTTTCCCCGATGTTTGGAATTTGAGTCCTATCTAAAATACGCATATCACTCTAGATAGCATTTAAATAGAAAACGATAGCGTGAGAGAACATCCTCGTGGCGATGACGCTGAACTTTCTGCATTTTTACAGCGGTGCAAATGACTAACGTTATTACATTTAATTTAGCAACTGAAAATAAGTGCATTCGACCAAGAAGATACAAACTAGAAGAAAACTGATCATACAAATACATCAGGTTTCATAGAGCCAAAACATTTCAAGTGCTACTCAACTGGCTTTAGATAAGCCAGTCCTTTGTTAGTATATAAGTGTTTTGTTAGTAATTCTATCGCTCAAAGTGGAGTCGAAAGAGAGGGGATCTATAAGGGGAACACACGGAACTAAGTAATAGTTATGGGCCCTCAGCTGACTGGTAAAAGATAAGAGATAAGAAACACACTTTGAAATGATTTTTCAGATTTTAGGACTGTTTACAGTGATATAAAATCAATGTATACCTCAGAGACCACAGTGAAATAAAAAAACCTCTATAAAACTCATTCCAAAGGGATTTTAAATCATAGAAAAGGACGCAGATGTTTCAATTTTTTCATCAACATCCATACAAATACAGTTTGTTATTCAAGCAGGACATCTAAGAAATGTCATTGAATTGAAATGAAGTGAACTCCCTCATATTTAATGAGGTTAGAGGCAAAGTCAATGCATGACTGTTGTTAGTGCGATGAATAGAGGAGCTTATTTTACTTTGGTTTGCGCCAAATCCCTTTTGATGTGAATCACGTGATGGAAACAATGCTGTCGTCTGTCTTCCTCGTTTTGCTAAATTCCCTGATGGGAATCTCATTGTCTTTTAATAGATTTTACATCCGCATTTGATTCGGTTAGCAAACTGTAAAAGCCGGTCTTTGTCTTAGCATTTACAACCAAGTAATCATTCATTATCAAAGCGCTATATGCATATTTAGAAAACACTTTTTATCATATGGCCATGACACAGGAACATGAGGCGCCAACTGCAAAACCATCGTCATGAATCTGCTGCAGCTATATCAATTGTTGCACACCATGGTGCTGCATTATCACTTAGTAAAAAGTCAATGTGACCACAGTGAGGCACAACCACGTGCTACAAAGACATTAAACACTAAGGACAATTACAGTGAGAGATAAATAATAAACAGGCTCCAACCTGTCTCCGGTCTAAGATTAGGACAAGATGTTTTAATAACTTGACCTTTCACATCAGTGTTTCCCCTATATACAAATAGCGGCGGCTAAATATTTGTTTTACTTTTTATTTTTTTATTAAAATAATAATAAGTGGCGACCCTTTTTCATTTCTGATTGTCCGTTATGTGGATTTGTAGTATTTGTGTTACTGTATGTCCAATAAAGGTGTATTTTTGCTAAATCTTGAGACATTGCCACTGTATGCACTGGCAGGGCAGATTTTTGGCTTAGGCGACATAGGCGGTCGCCTAGGGCCCCAGATCTGGGGGGCGCTGCGCTGGGAGCTCTGGGAGAGGAAAAAACATTTTTGACCGTTGGTGCTCATCCTAATTTTCGGCCTTGATGTAACAACATTCATAATTAAGTAAAGGTAACACCCTTTTCACCCTGGTTACACTTTTCATTTGCCCTGTACGATGAGCGCTGTCAGTGATGAAAGTGGGGGATGTTGGCTTATCTGGCGCCCGCAGCTCACAGCCAAAGTGCGAGCGTGGGAACGAGAGAGCGAGCGAGGGAGAGAGAGAGAGGGCGCACCGGTACCGGCGCTGTTGTTATTAGAATCTGGTGCTAGCTGCGCTAACGGATATAAGAAGTAGATGTTTCTACAACCAGGGTGGAGGAGAGCTCTCCTGTCAGACTGAGAGGCTCAGTGAGGTAATTTTAGTCCAAGTTATCTTAGTGGGTCTCAAACGTTTTGACCACAAATTATGTAAACACATATTTTCAAGGCACTCCTTTATAATTATAAGGATAAATAAAAACAGGTTTGAAATCATTCCAATGGACAGTAAACCAAAAATATTGTTTAAAATATCTATTTACTTTGATGAAATGTACAGTTATTTATCGTTTGAGTATTATTTATTGAAATGTATACAGTATTATATAATTCCCAATTTTTTATATATTTGTTTTTCAGCCTTATTTTATTAAAACTTCAAGAAAACCCCACTGTTAAAACAGACTTTAAAATGCGTCATGTTTATAAAAATCAAAATAAATCATACAAAAAGATTTGTGATGATTATAATTGCCATAACACCCCTAAATCACTAAATGATTTTAAATTCCATTAAATTAGATCTAACTGTGTGATGGCGACAGGATGTGTGCATTGTCTGATAATAGAGTGATAATATGAGACAGCAGCAGCATTATGCTCAGAGGTGTCATGCTGTTGGCTCCTGACTTTCGCTTTCTTTTAACACAGGTTTATCTTTCCTGGGACCCCTCTCAAATGCTGAATCCCCTCCTATTCCCCGTCTTTCTCTCCGTGTGGTTGCTTTATTCTCCCATCTATGTGAATGATGTGCTTCAGATGCCTTTCCTCTGACATGGTGGTGGAGAGGAGGTGGTGTGGATCTGTTTAGAAACATCTGGAAACTGCTGGACATCCTGCCATTTCCATTATTTTTCAAATATGCTCACACTTAACATAAATTGTATGTATTGTATTTTTTAAATGTTGATCAATCCTAGACACAACTTGTATTGCTTGCCTGTGAGTCCTTGGAGAGGGATCACTTAACACACATAACATGGACTCGTGATGAAATAAATTACTACAACTTATTTAGTCGCAGTTAAATTATGATTAAGAGTGTTATTAGTATTATCACCTTAGGTTGAAAGACAAACCTGCGAAACCAGTGAAGTGTCAGGCGTCAGCTAAGGTAAAATGGCAGTTACATAAACACACAGAAGAACACCATGTTCAAACATTTGGTTACTTTAGCTAAAGGTTAGCTTATTTCTGAAGGTGCATTATGGTGGAAATTAACTAAATCTGATTTAACATTTACGATAGTTTCACCGCGAATACGTTTTAAGTTGGTGGTTATAGATTTTTGAATGAACACAATCACCCAAAAGAGCATCATTGGTCCGATAATAGGCGCATTAGCAGTAACAACATTAGCAAAGCATGTTTAACTTTTGCAGGATGGAAAGCTTTAAGCGTATTTGCATCCTGGTGTCAGTGTCTCTGTGAACCAGCCGGTCTCTTACCCTCCTCTCCTGTCTCTTGCGCGGAAGATCCGGTCAGATATTCGGGTAAAAACCCCTGCGATGGCCGGTGGGTACACGGAGTACACCAGCCTCCTCCAGGACATGGGAGCCGCCATTGCTGCAGCACAGAGGCTTTGAAAAAACTTTATAGACACAACGAGCAGCTGACAGACACTCTGCTGCTGTGCAGGCTGAGGTAGAAAGTGATGGGCACTGAGAAGGGTATTAATTGTTTAATTATTTTAAATAATAAGTATTAAAGTTTTACCTGCAACACCAATTAATACATCAATTTAATAATTTAACTGGTTGTTTGTGTGGGTTAAAATGCCTTTAATGACTAGTGAGCAAACTACCTTGCAAACTACTGAGTTACTGTATAAACACGTTCAGACTGATAGAGATAATCCAATCCCCAACACAATGATCATTTTCAGATGATATATTACATATATAGAGATATGATGTTAAATAATCATAGTTGTAGATCAAACAAGTATTCAACACATATGTATACCAATAATCCTAAAAATCATATTTAAAGACTCAAAATTATTTCCAAAAATAAATAAATGTACAAATAAAGTAAAATAATCATTGTTGAGGAAAGAAAAGAGAGAATAAACAGATCATAAATAAACATATGATGATGAATAATTAGGGTGACTAAAAAATAAACCTTATATAGTAGAACTATTGTAACACCCAGAGGTGGAAGAAATACTTATTTTGTTTGAGTAAAAGTAGAAGTACCAGAGTGTAGGAATATGTTACAAGTAAAAGTTGTGCATTCAAAATGTTACTCAAGTAAAGTTACAAAAGTATTGGCATCAAAATATACTTAAAGTATAAAAAGTAGAAGTACATATTATGCAGATTGGTCCATTTCAGAATAATATATACAGTATGTTTTGATTATAATTATTGATCATTAAAGTGTTATCAAAGCTGGTAAAGGTGCAGTTTTAATGACTTAATTTACTGCAGGGTAGCTGTTGGATTGAATCTAGGTGTAACTGAACTCTTATTTAAGTGTTGATCATATAGTTTATCATTAATCTATACCTGCAAAATAACTATACTGCATAAATGTAGTCGAGTAAAAGTACAATATTTACCTCTGAATTGTAGTGGAGTAGAAGTACAAAGTAACATAAAATGGAAATACTCAAGTAAAGTACAAATACCACAAAATGATACTTAAAGAGTAAAACCACTGGGCTATAACAAATACTTCACTTAAGCATTATCACAGTAAAGAAAAGCTTTTCATATAAATCCACATGACCTCCTTAATAATATACTTCATTTTCACCAACTTAATACAACATATCCTTATTCTGCGAAATGTTGGATGATTACAATCTTTCCTTCTAATCAAAATGTGTCATCTGGCCATCAACGTGGCAAACAATAGTCAAATTGTCTTTAACAGTGTTGTGGTAATGTTGTATGATTCAAATATCAATACCCTTTATTTGAACCTAAAAATGTATTTAGCAGAGGTCCACAGCAAAGAGTGAGCACCAGCGCTGATTTATACCCCACAAGTAACAGTATTGTTGTTATTCTTATTATGGTTTTATAGTTTGCACAGTTTGGCTTTATTTATTAATAAGTTTTAGGTACGATTTTATATATTATTTTAGTTTGAAAGAAGCAATCACATTTCTGTTATTTTAGCCTTTTGCAGGTGGGACTTCAACCTTTCAAAGTGTTCAGTCATGCGGGACGGACGCAGTGTAAACTACAGTTTGTTCCAGGAACAAGTCCTTAATTATAGCATCTGTAGACTTTAAACGAGCTACACCCAGTTGATGCTCATTGTTATAATGATACTGCTGGTATACGCTCACATGGTTAGTGGTAAGTACTCATTTTAAGGTTGTTATTATAGCATTATAATTATTTAATATATTATTATATCCATGCAAAGGTTTTAATATGACATTAAAGTAATGATTAAAAAGAAAAACTGCTACTTTAAACTTTAATTGTTTAAACTTCTACTTTCATGTCATAGGAGACATGTTGTTCTAATACTTCATGCACTGTGTTAGACAGCTAAAGTAAAAAAATAATTTGAAGTACTTCATTATTGAGATAAGTAACATAAGTAATCGAAGAATTGTACTTGCAAATGAAAAGGCTAAATTAATGTCATATATCATATATGCCTCATTTGTCATTATACTGGGTTATGGAGGTATTCATGTTAATATGCAGACTCCCCATATACATCTGCCAATAACATCTGTAACATTCATATAATAATGTAACATAATATTCTGTAGTGTTGTTCCACATGCAGAGCTTTTAACTTGCTCACCTTGTGCAAAAGGGAACCCACCAGTACCAGGAAACAGCCCGGCAAAGGTCACGCTGATTATTTATTGGCAATCTGCCAAGAAAGAGCGCGAGCACGTGTGTCTGTTCTGTGCGTGTGTGCGTGTGTGCACCGGCGTGCGTGTGTTTACTGGAAGAGCCTCTGCACGGAGGAGGAGGAGCCTTACGAACATCGGCTTTACTCACTGGAAACAACCTCCAGTAACCTTCCCCGACACACGGACACGGTCTCTCCGGCAGATACCGCCGCCACATTCCTCCGCTCAGGGAAGAAACCCACACACTTTTTTGGATACTTTTTTTGGATTTTAATGCCTGAGTTAATAACTAATTTAGCACTACTCTCGGGTAGTTTGCGTATATTTTCCTTTGGCGACGAGCGGCTGCAGTGCGGGGCTGAGCATTTCTGCGAGGTAAGTTGAAATAATTAAAAAGACATCTAAGCACTGCATCATTCAATCCTTTATAATGACTGAACAATGATGTGATAATGTCAGTAAAAGCACAAAAGTTATTATTTGCTGTTGGGCTGTTGGTGCAGTGCAGCCCAGGAGGATGGAAGTGTATTTTTTGGGTTGTTTCGCAACACCGCGGCTCTGGACCGTTATGCTGCTCCGCTGTCCCGCACTGTCCGGCGGCAGTGAAGCCGTCTTAAGGTCCCCTTCACGGGCTCAGAGAAAGCCAGAGCAAACGGGACACCTTTTTAGTCACAGTGAAACCGGAGAATGGGGCCTCAGTGGCTCGGCCGAGCCGGGAATAAGGAGTTATTCACTGAAAGAGGGGGATAAAGCAATCGCGCCGGACTCTTTCACAGTGACCCCGTTTCTGAAATCCCTTGTTGCGGTACGCCCGATCGAAGACAATTGAAAGCAATCAGGATCCAGTTGCTGTCTGGCTGCGTATTCAGCAGCAGCAGGCTCAGTGCGAGTAAGCGAGGATTCATTTAAACTAAATATAACCTGCTGCATGCCCAGTCTTGTCATATGCATTTGTCACAGTCGCCATAACTGCATTTTATGGGGGTAAACCGAGAGCTCCAGTGGGGCAAAGTGTTCATTTATTCATGCCCATGTTTATGAATGAGTTTCAGTAGCCTGATCTTTCTGAATGAGCCTTATGTAGATGTGTAATGTGTGCTTCCTCTCTCCAGCTGTGTTTAGGTGCTCTCTCCCAGCCCCTCTCTGGATGCATCAGACTCCTCTCCCCCGGGGCCCTGGACCCGGTGTGTGACCCCGCCACCCTCACCCTCACCCCATTCCCCCTCTCTCCCGTCCCCCTCTGCCCCAAACTCCTTCCTACCTGTCACCCTTGGCGCTCCTATTCTGGGCCCCCTGCCCCTCAACCAGCGGGCAGAGGCAGGGGGCCATGGCGCCATGGTAGCCTTCAACGGACGCAGCCCCCTCGCCATGAGCAGCGTGAACCCTCCAGAGGCCAGGGTTCAGGGGACCAACTTCACCCCACATCACTACAAGCCCTTCAGGTCACATGCACACTACCGGCAGGTCAGTCCCACCTGAGACTCCTAGCTGTGTGTTTTATTGAAGCATCACTATGCACAGACTGGGTGCTTCAGGGGGTTTCAGAACAGTGGCTTTTTCTCCATAATGATGGAAGGGTTGTGTAAAACATTTTCAGATCAAGATTTTTGATATCACATATTAACAGATTTTCTACCTATTTCAGGTGATGTGTGCATTGCGAAAGCTACAGGAGAGTGGGTTTTACTGGGGGGCTGTGGGGGGCCGGGAGGCCAGCTCCTTGCTGCGCTCTGAAGCCCCCGGCACCTTCCTGGTGCGCGACTCCTCGGACCACCACCACTTCTTCACCCTCTCTGTCCAGACGGCCCGAGGAACAAAGAACCTGCGCATCCACAGCGAGGGAAATGGCTTCTTCTTACAGCCGGACCCCCAAAACACCCAAGAGCCCCCGCAGTTTGATTGTGTGCTGAAACTCATAACGCACTACATGGGGAGAGATGGTGGAAGGAGCAGAGAAGGGGCAAGTGGAGGGAATTCACGAGAGTCAAAAGAGAAACGTTTCAGTGTCTATCTGATACACACGGGCGGAGAGAGGATTCCCCTGGAACTGAGGCGACCCCTCTCCAGTTCCCTCTCGACCCTGCAGCATATGTGCAGGAGGACCCTGAACAACCTGGGGGGGTCAGAGGGAACCGAGCAGATCCCACACACACTTAGAGATTACCTGGAGGAGTATGATGCTCCTATATGACTGACAGGAACCCAAAAGTTCCACTATAGACCAGTTCTCAGCGCAATTACGTGAATATGCGCTACTGACCGGAGTTAGCCAATGTGAGGTCATTTTTTTCATGTGACCCAGATCTGCTTCGGCGCCGACGGACACCACCGGGTCTCACCTCTGGAATGAGGAGTGGCATTTAGGTAGCAAATGATTACCTCGTCCGTCCTGCCTTGCAAAAACTGACCACTAATGTGAGTGGCAAATGAAGCAAGGGCTAAAAGGTCAATGTTTCCTAAGACAAACGCAGAGCAGAGCCTCGTAGAAGATGAACCTGATTGGTCGATATTAGCGACGACATGATCAATACACCAACAGTTGGTTTATTGTGCATAAGAAAAGAAACCCTCTCCTCTGTCAGCCTGACATTTAGAGCTCTGTGGATCAGCGGACAGAAAGAAAGACCCCAAAGAACAAGAAAGGTTCACAGGGGTTGAGTGAAGGAGGAGTCACAGATAAAAGGCAAAGTCCAAGCGAGGGGCACAAAGAACATACAGTATTTGTTTGTCTGAGTGTGTGTGTGTGTGTGTGTTTGTGTGTTGCGGTGGCGCACACATTTCCACTGCTGCTTCCCGCAAATGTTGCCTCATAGAGAGGAATGGGAGAGCAGTGGTCATGCGCGCTAGCTCATAACCCTAACCCACACACTCACACACACAGGTACAGGCCAGCATGTAGATTTTGTGTTGGCGTGGGAACAAGAGAGTGCGAAAAAAGGCATTTCAAAGCACCTTCTCCTGTTTGTTTCTCCTCCATCATCCTTATTCTCTGCAGCCCTTTGAGTCACATGTGCGCTTTGACAGTGACAGAAAACAGGCTGCTGTTGCCGAAACAAAAGCTTGTTACTGAGACAAAAGCTTTGGCACGGCACCAAACAAAACAGCAGAACTTATTTTTAACCAGACTGGCTGCAAAATTGTCAGTCTGACACTGTTAAAGCTCCTTGGGGTATGACGACAATGAAGATGAACCAAGACATTTAGGATGAGGCAGGTTGCGAGGAAAGACCGCACGAAGGAGAGAGAAGAGCGGGAAATGGGATTAGGAAAGGGACATTGAAGAGAGCTAGGGAGGGGGCTAGGGGGGAGGGAGAAGGGGGAGGAGACATACTGGTATACTGCTAAACAAAAAACATTGATGTGATGGATGTCCCAGACTTGGAGGAAATGATGGGGCTCTACAGGACGCCGCTCCTGTAAATATAAAGCCACGTTCGCTAACATGTGAAAAAAAGAGTCATGGCTGAGTCTTAATTCTGATTTTAGACCCTCTCACAGTGATTTATTCCTTAACATTATCATCTCAAACGTATTTCTTTTTGTGTTCTCTCGCTTTCTCTCACACCGCTGTTCATGAAGGAGGAAATGTTATGTGTTTTTATCCCTGTAACTTTAGAAAGGCTTCTCGTCCCGTCTTACCCGCCATGGTTACCTCTGAAGCAGGAGTGCACAGTTGGGTTTCTCTGTCTGAATGTCAAGGGAACACAAGACTTCCTTAAAGTGATTCTCAACAAAAAAAAAGCCTTTTGTAAACTAGAAACTCGGATTTGATCAGAACTGTTTTTTTTGTGTGTGTGGCTGCAACGACAGATTCATTTAAAAATGTATCTGCAGATAGATTCTGTAAAATGTCAGAAAATAGGAAGAAGTGTCCATCCCAAGTCAAAGGGAATGTTTTTAAATGTTTTGTCTTGTGAGTAGAAAGCCCAAAGTAATTCACTTTTCACTGATTCAAATGGAGAAAAACAGGGAATCTTAACAATTGAGAGGCTGAAAATGGCAATTTCTGCAATTGTTGCATGAAAAATGACTAACAATTAATCGATTATCTAAATAGTTGGCAATTGTTTTTCTTTACTAATCATTGCAGCTAAGTTACCCAGTGCTCATATTTACCTGTGATCCATATTGGAGTGGTAGCCTTTTCACATCAGAACATTTTGACTTAGACAAGAGCGCTCACATAGAACAATAGTGATAAACAAATGTTTTGGTCAAATCTCAGTCTTATTTTTGAGCACCATGTTTTTTGTGTACATGTGTAGCACCAGTGGACTGCACGTGTATGTGAATCATTTTGTCTTTTATAAAGACTCTCTCGCAAAAGGCTGGCCACTAGTCTGGCAAAATACAAGCTGTAATATCTGAAATGACAAAGCATTACAAAAAAAATAAATGAAAAGGAAACGTTGCACATATTTATATTTCTAAAATATTTCAATAATTTATATTAAAGAGCACTATTTTTACAAAAGTCAATGCATTTGCCCTGTGTGTTACTTCATTGTTTGTTTCTCTGCCTCCTTCTTTTCTCTCTCTCACTTTCACTGAGTCAATATTGACTGGATAAGCTCTAACTTACCGTAATGTATTGTGAGGCAGTCTGTATTCCAGCAATGCCCGGCCTCACAACCACATTATTATCTGACAAATGGGATTTCCTAGTTAAACAAAGCCGTGTTTATTCAGTCGGCAGGCTTTTAAAAAAAGCCGGACTGCGGTGAGCACACACATTCATCATAGGGTTAAAATGACTGCAATCATCACTTCTTGTTTTTTTATGTTCTGCAAGAGCATTGTGGGTAAATTCCATAGGCATCAGAGAACATATAGAGAGGGGCGTGGCCACCATTTTGTCAGGCGTGCCCTGCAGTTGTACACAACACACAGTAACAAAGGGATTCCCAGAAACATGCCGTTATGTTAACACCATCACACACACACACACACACACACACACACACACACACTGTCTAAATAAGCCAGCTCAGCTCACTATGACTCATTTTATGTTCCCCATAGTTGCCTGGTTAGTGGGGCTGGAATATTTTGCCTCTCGTGAATCTCACACAGTCATAGAAAGTCTTTCCACCGTGATTCATGTTTTCGGGTAACGACTTGCTGTGGCCTGCTCAACAGTTGTCAACATTGTCCCCGGCCAAGCACAACACCCCAGACTCTCAAACAACTGAGCTCAGTTTTATATTCTTTCTCTCAACAATCAAAAGACTCACAGTAAGGTTTGGGCACTGTGTATTCAACTCAAAGGAAATGTGAAACAAATGTTTTTTAAAGTAACATTCTTGCAGTCTGATTAAAACTCAAGTGGGATTAACAGTTTCTGTATTCATTGCATTATTGAGCTCATGCCAATGTCAACGGCCTGGAAGGTGGAAAGAATATTAAAGGGTTAGGAGTATACCCTGTAACGAGCAATCCACAGCGTTCTTCCAGGAAGGAGCTCCGGTTTGCTGATTATTTCTTCCAGGAAGGCTTTTTGTTGGCTGATCTGCGCTTATAGGAAAGACGTTCGGTTGGCCCATCAGCTGGAGTATTGTCACAGCCGCTTCTGATAAAGCCAAAGCAGCTTCCAGGAAACCAGAGATTTACCCTCCAGCATTCCATCATTCCTCCAACATCAGCGCACAGAGGGAGAAAGCCAGGGAGCAGGAGGGGAGTAACAGGGACACAAATCAATAAAAACCATATGGGAAGCATACAGATGGTCAAATGCACTCAAAATGTCTGCATGCATGTATTTGTGTGTATGCATGAGCCAGTCTTGACCTCATTGACTGCCCACCTCATTGTGACACACTCAAACCACAATGTTTTTCTATACTCGATATATACCACCATCCCCCAAAAGCACACACAGAGGTGGATCAAGTACTCAAATCAGATTTAAATCAAGTAATACCACGATGAGGAAATATGTTTGCTCAAATATTTTATACAAATACAACAAAAAAAATATAAGTACAAAAGTATTAGAATTGCATATAGGCTACTAAAAGTCATCATTACCCAGATTTTAAGGATGATAATAATTGCAACATTTTAGTTATTGCACCAATAATGTGTTCATTACTTTGATGTTTCAGCTAGTAAAGGTTGAGCTAATTATAATTACTTAATATACTGCCAGGTAACTTGGAAAATGTTCCCCCAGGGATCAATACAGTTTAAAAAAGCAGATACTGATAAACCCCCCCC